TCGAGGCCGCACTGCAGGAAGCCAAGGCCTACCGCAAGGAGCTCGTGCGTCAGGGCAAGCTGAAGCCGCCAAAGTCGAAACCCCCCAGATCAATGGTGATGGGCGTCTCGTTTGACAGTAGCATACAGAAATGGAGGGTTCGGTCGTACGACGCCGTCGAGAAGAAAACGATGTCCTTCGGTACTTTCGATACCAAGGAGGAGGCCGAGGTCAAGGCCCGGGAGGTGTGCAAGCAGCCTCAGGATCGAGCCGAATACGAGGCTCGGGCCGCGAAGAGGTGCAGAGCAAAATGTCACTTAGAGCCGACTTGTCCAAGTTTGGGCTTACATTGACCTTCAGCCCTTTAGGACCTTGTCGACTATTTAAGGGATGGTTGATTGACGGCTGAGTTTAGGGTCAAGGGGTTGCGCTTCAGAGCCCGAAGCAAGCGTTTTGCAGACTCGTTTGTTGTTTTTTCTCGGAAGACCACACGAAGCAAGGCTTTGGGACCATTTCCAGCTTGAAGGCCTCCAAACTCGTGCTTACCTTAGTTAGGGTTGCACCCAGTATTTCAGGAACCCTCGAAATCAGAAGTCACTCGCCTTCCACCTTGAACTGCAGCTGCACTCGTACCTCCGATGCCCAGAGCCGCGGTAGAATTAGCAAAATATTGCGGCCCTGATTTCTACTAATGCTACGTGGTTTGGGGGTTCCTGATTATAGTTATAGTATGATGGGCCCCAAAACCCTATTCCACTTATTAAGGCCCCTATATTAGTAGCCTTGAGCTCCGAGTTCTCCGTTTTAAGTTCAATGCCCAGAAATTTCTATACGTCCCTCTGTAGTTTTGCCTGCCAGCAGGCCATGAGATTCTCTACATTCAACAATGGTTTAGGGTTTAGGGGTTTAGGGTTTAGGGTATGCACTGTGCGTGCTTGAGTGGGTAGTGGTCCTTGTGTTCGTAGTAGTGGTAGTTGTCGAGGTGGTGGTGGTGGTGGTGGTGGTGGTGGTGGTGGTGGTGGTGGTGGTGGTGGTGGTGGTGGTGGTGGTGGTGGTGGTGGTGGTGGTGGTGGTGGTGGTGGTGGTGGTGGCCCGGCATCCCTTTCAGGTACCTCTTTGGTGCTTCAAGGTTTACCTTAACCCGGAATAGCCTACCCTTTTAAGGACATGTATAACTTATATACGGAAATCATAATAGGAACCCTAAAAAGGTAGGTTAGTCAGGGTTAAGGTAGGTCTTGGTTTAAGTCAGGAGTTAGAGTTTCTTGGATTTACGGCCTTCTGCGCTGTAGGGTTTCAGTGTTTGGCTGCACACCATTACCCAATGTCCCGTTAAATGGACTGAACTGATGGCATCTAGCTTCCTGGTGAAGGCACGACATACTTCACTGCCCCGGACTCCATCTACGATGCTGTGATGGCGCAGTTTCCAGAGGCTCAGCTCCGTAATCTGTGCTCTTGTGAGCATGAACTGGTACCAAGTCTACATGTGTATTCTGCGTTTTGACATGCTACACCAGTTGGGCCCCAGAAATACTGGTTGCCTGCATTAGGCGGGCAATGGAGGAAGGTGTGTGCATCATCGTGTTGGGTTTAAACTGTGCAGGTACTTGGATATTTGGCCGATTAGAGACAGCTGCTTCGAATGTCTCAGTCTTTGCGACAGTTTCTCTGAGAGAACGAGAGAGCACGGCGTAAGAGTTGCCTGTCTTGTCGCATTGTCGAACACCACCACCGCTTGTGGCCGTAAATCTCACCGTCGAGAACCACAACAGCCCAGACAGCGAGTAGAAACCGTTGTAACTCAGGGTGGACAACTGCGACAACTTCCAGGTTCAAGGCCAAACTACACGAAATGGAGCAGCCCAACAACGTGTAAGACACAGCTCTATGTATACAGGATACAGAGTGACAACTACTGGCAACCGCAAGTGCGACTCCAATGAAGACGCCCTAAATACCCAAGCTCTAAACACCACTAAGGATCTACAGCCTCGAACGCTGATCCCGGAAACCCTAAACCCCCAAACACTTATACTGACCTCCGATACATCCTGTAAAGCTTCAATCCGCAACCCAGTTAAGGGCCTAACTCGACGACAGGTGCCCTGTTCCCAAGCCGAAGCTTACCCGCCTCTTACCTACGTCCTGCGGAGTGGGGGGCTGAGATTGGCCATGTTGCAAGGCTCTTGTCTATGAAGGTCTGTAGGGTGCTTTAGGGGTTTCATACAGGAGTTGGAATAACTGGCAAGTTTGTTTCTTAAGAGACCTTATGTATAGGGTACTCCAAGAACCTATTCTGATTATTAAGGACCCTTTACGACGGTTTGGGGCTTTTTTTTGTGGATTGGAGGCATTAGGGCTCAGCCCTTCAAGTTCTCACGAGGGTAGGGTCTGATGCGATCAGTGGGTAGTAGTAGTAGTAGAAGAAGAAGAAGTAGTAGTAGAAGTAGAAGTAGAAGTAGAAGTAGAAGTAGAAGTAGTAGTAGTAGTAGCAGTAGTAGTAGAAGTAGTAGTTAGTAGTAGTAAGTAGTAGTAGTAGTAGTAGTAGTAGTAGTAGTAGTAGTAGTAGTAGTAGTAGTAGTAGTAGTAGTAGTAGTAGTAGTAGTAGTAGTAGTAGTAGTAGTAGTAGTAGTAGTAGTAGTAGTAGTAGTAGTAGTAGTAGTAGTAGTAGTAGTAGTAGTAGTAGTAGTAGTAGTAGTAGTAGTAGTAGTAGTAGTAGTAGTAGTAGTAGTAGTAGTAGTAGTAGTAGTAGTAGTAGTAGTAGTAGTAGTAGTAGTAGTAGTAGTAGTAGTAGTAGTAGTAGTAGTAGTAGTAGTAGTAGTAGTAGTAGTAGTAGTAGTAGTAGTAGTAGTAGTAGTAGTAGTAGTAGTAGTAGTAGTAGTAGTAGGAGCAGTAGGGGTAGTAGAAGTAACACGAGAAAGGAGTAGTACCAGTCGGAGTGGGAGTAGGAGTAGGAGCAGGAGCAGGAGTTGGCTAGGTGTCGGCGGTAGGAGCAGGAGTAGGAGTAGGAATATGAGTAGGAGCAGGAGTAGGAGCAATAGTAGGAAGTGAGCAGCACTAGCAGTAGCAGTAGCGAGAACAGTAGCGGTAGTAGTAGTCCTGGTAGTGGTCGTCGTCGTGGTGGTGGTAGCGGCATCAGCAGCAGCAGCCATAAGCAGCAGCAGCAGTGCTGGCCGATCAAGCCCACGACGACTCAGAGGTTCAAGGCTTGTGGTTCAGGCCCGATTGGATCCTTGCGCCCGAAGCGGCATGCCAGTCATCTTCCCAAGATCCGACATAGTCTCAAGAGTGTGCTGCAAACTGTTACACTCCTCCGAGGGGTCCAGTAAAAAACTCTCAGCATGTGGAAGTGTCCGCAGGTGGCGAGAAGGAGACATACGACCTACAAGTCAAGCAAGAGACGTGCCCGAGGGAGGGCCTGGATGCAGAAGTGCTTAAATCAGCGGGTTTTGCGTTTGGGGCTTACCCATAAATGGGGTTTAGTAACTTCCCGCTTTGCATGTATATCCGTTCAAACGGGTTTACCAGCTTAGAAGGACGCCTTATCAACACTTACTCACAAAGCGGATCCTGCCAATGAGTGCTTACTGTTGGGTCCGTAGCTTCAGATCTGTTGTTCGTCCATCTTGATGCCCGAGACTCATCATCAGCCCCATCGGAGGCCTTTGGAACCTCCGCCGAAAGCGTCACAGCTACCCGAAGCTGCCAAAACTGCCTTGGGAAGTGCGGGCTTTGACGGAGTCCCCGGGGCCGAGCGTCTCCATCGTCCATCGGTGAAGCCCTAAACCCTAAACCCTGGGCCCGGTGTTCCGTTCTGGTGGCGCAAGATGCCGGCACCAGACATGCCCCTTTCTCGACTACTTAGAGGATCATGGGACACATCTTGAAGGGCTCCTTAAAAGGGATCCATAAGGGTTCCTTAATGCGATCTATAGGGTTCCTTATAATGGGATGTATAGGCTTTAGGGTTTAGGGTCAACTTAGAGGATCATAGGACATAGTAACTAGGGCCATAACTGAGGTAAGTGTACTTGTAACTACTTATAACCCCACTTAAGGTACTTATAACCATACTCACTAAGTCCCATGATGCTCCAAGTAGAGGAAGGATTTTGATGGGTGACGGCCAACAGTGTGGCCAGGCGCTGACAGCTCGGCCCACGTGGCGTCAGCTCACTGGCCAGAGACTCCAATACCTCTTAATTAAGGAATATGCCTTAATTCATGTTAGGGACCCTACTATAATTTAAGGTATATTCCTTAATTAAGGGGTATTGGAGTCTCTGGGTGGCTACTCTCCATGGCCATTGTTGCAGGAGGTGTGGACGAGCCTCCCCGAGTCGGCCTAGAAATGGGCGGTTGTCAAAATTGTGGTCCCTCTTTGGGTCCCTGATATAGTACGGCACCTAAAATTTAGGGTGCCCAAAAAGGGAATCCTAATTTTGACATCCACCCAGATAGAGATCGGCACCATCCTATTATGTCCGCTTTTTCCACGTGAGTCATCTCACAGTTTAAACAAGCCCCCAACTCGCAAACATGCATGCATTCAAGTATGGCATGTTTGCATGCATGTATTGACAGATAGATGGGCAGATGCAATGTGCCTTTTGAGAGTGAGTATATAAAACAAGTAGATGCATGTATAAAGATAGTAGTAGTTAGGCAGATAGATAGACGGGGCAGGCAAGTAAGTACATAGACAGTGCGACGACAGAGGGACAGACAGACACACAGACAGACACACAGACAGATAGGTGCATAGATAGCGCAAGAGAGAGAGAGAGAGAGAGAGAGAGAGAGAGAGAGAGAGAGAGAGAGAGAGAGAGAGAGAGAGAGAGAGAGAGAGAGAGAGAGAGAGAGAGAGGGAGAGGGAGAGGGAGAGGGAGAGGGAGAGGGAGAGGGAGAGGGAGAGGGCGAGCGAGGGAGGGAGGGAGGGAGGGAGGGGAGAGAGAGAGAGAGAGTGTGAGATGTGGGGAGAGAGCAAACAATCACGGCAATAATCTCAGTGGAGGTACATGGTCGGAGACGATTCCAACATCTGCGTCCCGGCCTTCATGAAGCTGGACGTCAAGAAGCAGTGCCCTACACAGTGTTGTGTTTCCGCTTTTTTACGGAGGATTCCCCTGCAAGGAAGTGTATTTCCAGCATTCCCTGTTGTACAGGACACTTGGCCCCGCTCCTCCTCCCCCTCCCTATGTGGCGGTTGACGGGTTCGGTGCCGAGCATGGATCTTATACCTTGAGATCCCAATGCTGAAACTCTCTTGTCACTTCAAAGAACCCTGGCAACTCCCTATGATATTATGAAGCCCTGGCATAGGTTGTGCAGATGTACAGCCCTTGCACCTTCAGTCCTTACACCCTTAAAATCACTCGAAATCTTGTTCCTTAAGCGCCTTTCTACGTCATAAACTTAAACCCTGTCGCCCTCTCCGCACTCGTCGATCCGAAACCCGCGGAAACCCCCCTGAAAGGTTTCATCCCCAAATCCGAAACAAGAACCCAAGATCTGTATCCAAAATCTTGAAACTGGTTTATAGGGGTTTAGCGGTTCAGGGTTTATAGGGCCCGCAGCATCATAGGCCTCCTCATCCTGGACAGGTACGGACCGGCGCTGATCCTTGGGGAGGCACCGGGTTCAGAGCATTTCGGGACTGAGAATTTCGATTCCCGAAGCCCTCAATTCCGTGTTTAGGAAGTTTATGGTTCAGATCCGCATGATCCCGGGTTGAAGGGTTCAAATGGGAGTTTCCGAATATTCGGGGTACCTTGTTTTGCAGTCCTCATAATAAGGATCCTCCGATGTAGGGTGCTATATCAGGGTCTCCTATTTTCGGAAAGTCCCAAATATACCTTCTAAAACCCTTCTGAGAATAGTGTTTGTTTAACGTGTGGGGCCTTCGGCTTTGGAGACATGGGCTGTGCGTCCGTGGTTTGTAGAGTAGCATGCCGTAGTGGCGTGTACAGTTCAATAGCCTTCGGGCTTTTCTACTGTTCTTGTAGGGACCATAGGGGAATGCTGCTGTTGTTTATTGCTCATTCATGCTACTATAGCATGGCTGGTGTGACTGTGTGTCGCGGTATTTGCATCTTTCAGCGAGGTCGAGCTATATAGTACCAGAGGTCTGAAAAGTTGGCCCTACCTCCCTATCTAACTGCTGGACTGCACCTTAACTTAACATCCCCCAACAACCATCCTAACAATTCAAGCCGCTAGCTTAAGGATAGGGGTGCTTCCTAGGCTTCAGGCTTGGGGATCTGGAGAAACCTAACCCCACACCCTTAACCTTAAACCCAAATTCCTACACCCTTAACCCTAAACGTTAAACACCCTGATACCCTGAACCCTGAACCCTGCACCCTTAAGCCTAAACCTCAAACCCTGGGTGGTCAGTTCAGGAAAGGATTCTCAAATCTCGACACCAGAGGTGCCCAGAATCCTTAAGCCCCCAACGCTCTAAGTACCTACACCCGAAGTTTCCGAAAATTAGAGGTACCTTTTTGGGGGGGGTCTTTGCAATAAGGATCCTACTGTTTAGGGCACTTTTTTAGGGTCTCCTATTTTTCGGAAACCCCCAAATCCTGAAGCCTACATCGTTACACCCTAAACCCTTAAATCCTAAACTCCCCAAATCTTAAACCATACGAACTACTAACTACATTACACCCTAACCCCTAAAGCCTAAACTCTAAATCTGAAGCCACACAGACCCTAGCTAACCCTTTAAAGCCTAAACTCTAAACATTACGCCATACGCACGACGAACCCCTGAAAGCCTAACTCTAAATCTTAAACCATACACACTACTAACCCTTTAAAGCCTAAACTCTAAATCTTAAACCATACAAAAGCAGCTTGCGAGGTCTTCATGCGACATTTCTTCACGGTCTTCAGCCGCGGCAGCGGCAACTTAAGTGAGGCGTTGCGACTTGAAAAGTTTCGGAGAGCTTCTGCGTTTAGTGGATTACAGTTTAGGGCTTAGGGTTTAGGGGTTTAGCGTTCCCTAGGGGTTTAGGGTTTAGGGGATTGCAGTTTAGGGTTTAGGATTGAAAGAAGTGACGGTGCTTGGTTTTTGTTGGGTGGCTTTCAGTGTTGAGGGCTTCCGGTTGCAGAGTTTGAGCGGCGGAGCTGACATATTTAACCCGAAGGGTGTACATAGGGGTTAGGGTTTAGGGCTGCGGAGACCCGAAAACAATTTATGAGGAGGTCCAGGGTCTAGGGTTCCCTGGGCAGTTTTTTGGTAACTGAGTGTGGGCCAAAGACATGTTCAGGCCGTCCGAGGAATGAAAATAGTGTTGTTTTTTGGGGGCGAGGGAGGGTGTATTCTACGCTGCCGCTGGAATGTTAATAAACCGCATCATATAAAGAATGGTCGTTCTCATGTTTTAGGCTCTCACCCTAAACCCTAAACCCTAAACCCTAGGTGCTTCCATGCTCCAGAGAAGAGCGAGCTGGGTTTAAGCAGTTTAATCGGGTTTAGACCCCCTGCCAGCAAAGGGTTTGCCAGTCACAGGAGAGGATCCAAGCAAGGGTCTACATGTTCAGTGTTCAGGCTATGGTGCGCATCAGAATGTGACTGAGTAATGAGCGTTGCAGGATGCCAAGTTCAAGTGTTCTCAAGTGTTCCAGAGTCATGAGTAAGTATGTATGGTTAATGCACTTAGATTTCTCGTGTATCTAATGCACAACCGAAGATAGAAGGATGACCAGCACCAAAGGCAGCTGATGCCTTTAATGAACCCTCGGACCCACACTATACAAACCCTGAGCTATCAAACCTTGGGGTTTCGTAGCGGCCCTAGAGTTACAAGCATGGCAACTATACTCATAATTGCACATCGCCCCTAAGGCCTAATCCATCAACCCTGAACACTAAACCTTAATCAACCCTAAATGCCCTAAACCCCAAAACAGACCCTAAACCCCTAAACCCTAAACGCTAAATCCCTAAACCCTAAACGCTAAATGAGTTGGGGTCAAAATTATCGTTTATGTATTTTAGTGTAGAGGGTAGTTGTTGCGCCAAAACCCCCAAGATCGATAGGGGACGCGCTAAAACGATAGGTTTACTTGATTTGATATAGGACAGGCTCGCATAAGCATGCGCCGTACTCCGTTTCAGAACTCCGGACCGTCGGTCCGAATCGGACCCCCAGCGCAAATCCACAAGACCAGGGTTTGACTTAGAGAAAGAATGGGGAGTTGCCTGTGGGGCTGAGGGGGCAGGGGCAAGGGCAAGGCACAGGCGTGCGTCTGGGGCGTTGTCAGATGAAAATCAACCCATCAAGCTTTAAGCAACTGTGGAAAATGTTGTCCGTCTTAGCCGATACAGGATGTCAAAGATATGGGCTTAGAGGCTTAAGAACAGGGGACAACACCGCATTTGGAGGCACGTATCCTCCGTGTGATTCGTCCACGACCATTCTATTCGTGTTTCTCCACAAAGCCTACTGAACTCTGCATTCGCTTTAATGGCTTATTCAACTCCGTATTTCTCCAAAACGTAAAGGTCCATCGACTGAGGTGCTAAACGTGTACACGGCAGGATTCAGGGGCATGAAGGTCCATCGAGTCAACTGCTAAACTTGTGTGCGGATTGCTTCGGAGGCTCACAGGTCCATCGAGTCAGGTGCTAAACTTGCGTGAGGAGGTCCGAGGCTTGAAAGGATGTTTTGTAATATAAACCTGTGCACAGAAAGCTTGTGCTGCAAACCTTCTGCAGGTTATCAGGTTTCATGTCAGACATGGAACGATAACCAGATCGATAACCGGTCGATACCCCAAATGGGCCCAAAACCTGCCAACCAAGGCCATGGCTCACTTAGGTACTTGTTGCACTTGCAAGTATGCTTGCGTGCGAAGGTCTCGCTTATTTCTTATCTGGACTTGTCAGTAAAGGGCAGTAATAAAAGGCGGTAAAGGGCACTAAAGGGCAGTAAAAGGCAGCAAGGGGCAGTAAAGGGCAGTCAAAGGGTAGTAAAAGGCAGTAAAGGGCGGTAAAAGGCAGCAAAGGGCAGTAGAGGGCAGTAAAGGGCAGTAGCGGGCAATAAAGGGCAGTAAAGGGCAGAAGCGGGCAGCAAGGGCAGTAAAGGGCATTACAGGGCAGAAACGGGCAGTAAAGGGCAGCAAAGGGCAGTAGAAAGCAGTCACGGGCAATAAAAGGCTGTAAAAGGCAGCAGCGGACAGTATAGGGCAGTAACGGGCAGCAAGCGGCAGTAAAGGGCTGTAATAAGCAGTGCAGGGCAGTCACGGGCAGTAGAGGTCAGTAAAGAGTAGTAAACAGGCAGTAAAGGGAAGTAACGGGCAGTAGTGGGCAGTACAGGGTAACGGGCAGTAGAGGGCTGCACAGAGTAGTAAAAAGCAGTAACTGGCAGTAACGGGCAGTAAAGGGTAGTAAACGGCAGGAGTGGGCAGTAAAGGGCATTAAGTCGAGGACCTTGTTGCCTTGTTGGTGTGAGGAAACCCCGAAGCAAGGCTTCAAGGCAGAAAGACCTCTCCATGCCTGGATGCTCCAAAACCCTGCCCTGAAAGCCTTAGGCCACAACCTGAAATACCGCCTACCGTATGCGTTGTGCTATGAATTGTATCTCCTTACTCTAAAGCCGTGTACCCTTGATTCCAGTAAACCCCATATAACCTAATAAGTTTAGATAGTCGCATTGTCTTCGGATGGTCCTTGCAAGTGCGCTAGCGAAAAGCTCGGAGAACGATAGGGGACGCGCTAATTCAAAAACAAAAGCAGGATGAACAAGTAATTTTGACGCCGACTCAAATCTTAATCCCTAGTCCTGTCCTCGGCGGTTTGCTGCAGGCGCGGGTCGGTTTCGCTAAAGCCAAGGCAGGTGCCACGCCCAAGGCGCGCGAAGGGTGAGGCTCCTTGTAACTATGGGATCCGGGTTTAGGGTTTAGGGTTTAGGTTTTAGGGTTTAGGGCTAGAGGGTTACTACGGCTGATGATATAAATCCTGCATTACCTGCAGGACCCTAAACTATGGGAATTATGGTATATTCCCTATTATGGGTGCGGCAGGATTTAGATCATCAACCGTATGGAAGCCTTCTTGCCGGCCTGTAGAAAGGCTCCCAGGATCCTTTCGAAGGATATGCTTGTCCACTTGGAGGATCATGAGACTTAGTAAATATAAGGTTATACGTACCCTAAGTGGGGTTATATGTAATTATAAGTGTAGTTACCTTAGTTATAACCTTGGTTACTAAGTCTCATGATCCTCCAAGCAGAGTTTCGGGTCTGTGCCAGCGCTTTGCCTTCGGTACATAGAAGCATGTTTAGAAGGGTAGTATAGGGGCCTTCATAATTGGTTCCTTTAGCGGGGTCTAGGCCCTATATGACATATCCTCTAAAGGGGTTTAGGCCCTATATAATACAACCTTTAAAGGGGTCTAGGCCCTATATAATCTAACCTTGTAAAACTCGAGGTGCCGGTGATGAGGCGCAGTCCGAGCATCTGAGCCTGCATGTAAAAGATGCCTTAGGGCTGCTGAACAGGGGGGGAGAGGGAGGGTTTAGGTCGGTTACAGTGTTGTTTGAGGGTTGCGTTGCTTGCCGTGGGGAACACCGGAGTTACTTGGACCTTTTCCCAACGTTGGTGTCTGCCGCAGTGGGTTTGGGGTTTAGGAATCAGAGTTCAGGCCATAGAATATAGCTGATGAGTGAATAACGAGCATAAGAAATATATATATATATATATACAAAAAATATATATAGCAATCCATGCGCTGGTGCGGCAACATGATACGGGAGCACCGCGGTGGCAAGCCTTTGAAGTGGATCCCCACCTCCACGCGAAACTCAGTCAGCAAGCTCAATGAGTAATGTAGTCACTGTAGTTCAGCCCTAGAAAAGCATTCACTCGTGTAGGCGACGCTGCGTCATGGATCCAACATTTTGCAAGCGAAGCTGGCATTAGTATTGGGTTTGCAGTGCGCAGTAATGCATGTTGCAATCCAGGACTTTGGGGTTTACATTAAACTACCATAACCTACTGTGTTCTAGGCTCTTATTATAAACTCCAATATGGAATGAATAGGAACCCTGCACAGAAAAAGGTTGTGGCGGGTCAAGGTAGGTAGTATCAAGCCGAGGGCGCTTTGCATTGGCAAGGCAATGCTTCTTAATTTCTACAAGCACACCAAGAGGGTCCACATACACTACCCATTATGGAATTAATCCCAAGAGACCATCCTAATCATGGTTTGGGGGACATAACTTCCATAATTGTAATAGTAGTACCTTTGGCCCTATGGGACAGATCCTTCTGCATAGTTGCCGGGCTCATTGTGAGAAGACAAGCTAGGACAACCTTGCCAAGTGAATCAAGCATGGATCTGACCTTGTACTTTGGAGGCGCCTGTGTGGAGAATCCTGGTGTGGGAGGTTGCGGCGCAGTTTGCTACGGGCCGAAGAAGGCATTCCTTTGGGAAGAGTCGAGACGCTTAGGAAGAACTGCAAGCAACCGCGCAGAGTTGCATGGCCTCATTCTCGGGCTCCGACGCCTAGTCAAGGACAAGACCGACTGTCAGCACTTGAAAGTCATAGGCGACTCACAGCTGATCTTGCAGTTCATGCAAGGGCAGAGGAAGGTTGAAGACCCCATTTTGCGGGTCATGGTCAGCATCGCCAGAGGTTTGGCGAGCCATTTCCCAAGTTTGCTTTTTGCCCAGGTTCCGCATGAGCAGAACCAAGTTGCAAAATCACTCGCCGAACGGAGGGCATGCCAGCAAGGATTGGTTGAGGGTGAGTATTTTGTGTTTTATCCGAACCTTTGTGGGTCTTCCAGTCTGATTGCCGACGGCATGCACATAAACGTTATCAATGACTTCATGGCTTATGCTCACACTCCCGAGATCCTCATCGATGCCCGCTTTCTGGCTTCTCTGCCTTCTTTCGGTCATTCCGCTCTGACTTCACTTGGTGAGTGCAAGGCCTCCACATTGAGTGGCAAAGTGCCGATGACCATCCTCGGATGCCTGAAATCACCGCTTCCCATCACTTTCATGGGACAAGAAGCTCAGATCCGTGATGTTATTGTGGTCGAAGATCTCCCAGCTCCGATGAAGATCTCTTCTGACCATCCTCAGATTGCCCGGATCATGAAAGAGGAGAATGCATCAATAGTCTTCAACGCAAACACCAAACTGCGATCCGACTTGTTCCCAGAGCAGTTTCAAGCGCACAGGTTTTGGGAGCCATCGGACGTTCATTTTATAGCAGCGGGCTACGGCATCCAGCAAGGCATGGCTTGAGTTCACCCTAGGACGTCTCAGCAGCTTCTAAGACGAAGCATATTTACCTAGACAGCACATGGCTGCAGGGAATTGGTTGAAGCAAAATTGCTGGCGCATCTTAGACACATTGCCGGCCTTGTTTCTGCAGGGTCTGCAGACTTGTGCAAGTGTTTGTAGAACTTTTGCGCCACTAACCTTCTGCTAGGTGTCCTGATGAAGCTTGGGAACCACGAGAAGTAGCGTGATGATGCGTTCCCCCTTGCCCATGCTGCAACTCCGGGTTTAGGGTTGAGGTATACATTGCTTGCCATGAGGTAGGACACTCGTTGGCGCCATTTGCTAAAAGTAAGTTATGGGGAATTCGAAGGCTAGTTGTAGGGCCTAACGGCTCAGCGTGCAGGGCACTAGACCCTGAAAACAAAAGTTCAAACCTCCCACTTAAAGGCTCATGGGACTTAGTAAGTAAGGTTATAAGTAGGTTATAGTTAGGATAACCCCACTTAGGGGACTTATAACCCCAATTATAACCTACTTACTAAGTCCCCTGATCCTTTAAGCAGTGACAAACCCTTAGACCAACGCTGCCGCTCCGCAGGCTCTCCCGCCGCCGTCCCCACCCCCACCCGACACCACCACCAGCAGCAGCAACAGCCACAATGAGAACAGCATGTCAGATGATGATGGCGATTGTGCCAAGCTTTGTGTCTGACTGAGACAACAGGGCCAAGTATACTGCCTAAAATCCCAAACCCCTATGGCCAACAGCCTGAGAGGGGCACCAGAAATTTTGGGGCTTTCGGGATTCAGGTTTAGGGTTCGAATCGTGGACCTTCGCAAAATGAATCGATCCCCCCCATCGATCGTCAAAACTCCTGAGTACACTGTTCCGATGGAGGGCCTTGAGCCTGGAAATGTAACCCTTCAGCCGATCCATCCCAGAATTGTCTTTAAAGTGCATGAGCCTATGGCCTAACTATCAGAAACATAGATCTGAACTCTTATAGCCCTCTTCTAGTGCCCTGTAAGAACCCTTTTGGAGCCCTTTGAAGGGGACCCAAAGCTCATCCTTTCGTCACCCGCGGCTGCTCAGCTTCGAGGGGCGCGAAGGCCCGGGCGCCGCCTTAGCCATGGCGGACGCTACAGTAGATCCCAGTGCCGAGGTGAAGGCCATGGGGCTTCTTAGGGTTTGAGGATGTTTGAGGGTTTAGGGTTTGAGGGTTTGAGGGTTTGAGGGTTTAGGGTTTAGGGTTTGAGGGTTTGAGGGTGTAGGGGTTTAGTGGTTTAGGGTTTAGGTTTATAGGGTTTAGGGTTTTTGGTTTAGGGATCCTAGTGCCGACGTGACTAATAATTACTGGTTGCGTGGGTTTCTAGATCCCAGCGCCGTGGTGAAGGTCGTGGGGATGAATACCTCCACCCCTTTGCGGTTGGTGGTGTAGGGTTTAAGAGGTTTGGGGCTTTAGCGTTAATCAAGGGTAGAGGTGATTCCTATACGTACTTTTCTCAGGCTCCTGGGATCTTCAGCCGTTCAGCAGCCCGTGGGCGGCATTTGTGGTGAGATTCACCTATGATGTGCTTGAACGCTGATTAGTGTTCTGATTCCCCTGGCTAGGCCCCATTGCAGAATGATATTGACCATGATGTTCCAGCTCTTCAGCAGTCCCTGTGCCTGGTTTAAATGTAGAAGGAGCCGTTGCAGCTCAGGGCTGCTAAGGCCCAAAGTCCGAACTGCAAATCTACAGACTGCAGCGAAGGGGGACAATTCCAAGACGAAAACGAAGCCGAAGTCTGGCAGTAGTTTAAGGATCATGGGACTCAGTAACTAGGGTTGTAAATGAGGTAACCGTACTTACAACTACGTATATCCCCACTTAGGGTATGTACTTATAACCTTACTTACTAAGTCTCATGATCCTCCAAGTAGTTTAAGGAGGAGGGATAGGAAGGAGCAAGCATTGGCAGGTGAAGACAGAGAGGCCAGAAGATGGCGACGAGGCATCCGACTCTGATCCTTCTCTCGGGTTCTCGAGCTGTCGAGTAAAGTTCGGCTCGGAGCTCTGGATGCTCATGTTTTAGGGTGTAATCTACGAGCCTTTTTATTTACCTATACTAGTGCTGGGGATTCCTTATTATAGTTTTATTAAAAGTATATTGGGCCCCAATTCCTCTTCTAATTAGAAAGAAATAAAGGCCCCTACATTAGAGTTCCGATTGTGTGAGGTAGAGCCGGGTATCAGGCTGGGTTTTGGGGAAGTTTCAACCTTGAGCTGCAGGGTTTAGGTTGGGTACGGCCCCCACTCAGTAATGGTTGAATAATATTCATAATACAGATATATTAGGACCTTAATAGTATAGCCCTATTATAGACTCTTACTGTAAGGGGGCAGTACGTAAGGTTTAGGCTTTAGGCTTTGGGGTTCAGTGTTTAGGCCCGTGGAAACAGGGCAGCCGAAGCAGCAAACAGTGTCTTCCAATGGACAGGCAGTCACATCATCGTGTGCTTCATAAACAAGAGCTTACGCTGGCTATGCTGGCTGCGGTTGCAAGAAATCCACTTCCCTATGAACTCGAGTCATGTCCCGTAAGCTGAAAGAGCGGACTCTACAACGGCGACAGCTTGAACAGCAAAGGTCGTCACTAAGACTATGTACACGAAGAATGCAAGCAGTAGGTACTGCCGGTGCTGGTAAACGATGGTACTGCCTGTGCTTCAGGGGCGACTGTAGTGGCAGCAGTAGTAGCAACAGCAGCAGCAGCTGTGGTAATAGTAGTAGTAGTAGTAGTAGTAGTAGTAGTAGTAGTAGTAGTAGTAGTAGTAGTAGTAGTAGTAGTCGTAGTCGTAGTCGTTGTCGTAGTCGTAGTCGTAGTCGTAGTAGTGGTAGTAGTAGTAGTAGTAGTAGTAGTAGTAGCAGTGGTAGTAGTAGTAGCAGCAGTGGTAGTAGTAGTAGCAGTAGTAGCAGCAGCAAAAACAGCACCTTTCATTGTTGTGTCACAGTTCTGATTATTAGCAGTAGCCGTTGCCATTGCTTCTATTCTTACTGTTTGTGGTGGTAGTCGTCGCCCTCCTGTTAGTATCCGTACATCGTCTTGGGTTCAACTTCAGCATTGCTCCTCGCGGAATCTGGCCAGTAAACCTACGGATTCAGAGTTTTGGGCTCAGGTTCACTGTTTTGGCTTCACGTTGGGTTCTCAAGGACCAGTGCTGCGAGGGTGAGATTTTGGTGTCAAGATGAGCTGAGCCCTTACAGTTTGCCTATGCCATTCAAACTATGGACTGCAGTACAATATGTCATTATGCCTATCAAAGCCCCGTATTACCAGAGACCCGCAGACCCCTTAATTACGGAAGGATCCTTCAAATCCCATCAGGGTTCTTATTGTACGTCATGAGGGATATTCCGATATTCCGTAATTGAGGAATGTAGGAAGCTCTGCGCATTAAGCCCAGGTCATGGCAGACCCAGCCGGCTTCATGACGGGCACCGTCAAGATCGAGGCTTCGGGTATTGGTTTAGGGTTCCTGGGGATTCTGTTTCAGGCTTGCAAGCACATACGCACACACAACACACACACACGTTTAGAAGGAGTATTCCTGCCTTAGCTGGCCTCAGACCTATGTGCTGCTTACGGCTCGAAGATTAGGTGTTTTCAAAGTAGGGCTCGAGTTCAGACTGTATTTGGGCTTAGGGCCTTGGGGGTTTCGGTTCCCGGCCCAAGATTGACAAGGGTTTGTGATCAGGATTTAGGATTCAACATGTTCTGGGACCACGAGGCTTATCGGTGTTGCGGAAAGGGTCTGCGGCAGTTTTATGCAGGATTCCAGCGCTTGTTGAAGGGCTGTTGTTGCGGTTTAGGAAGTCACTGGCTTAAGCTGATACGTACATACATGTGTGTGTGTATATATATATATATATATATACACGTATGTGTATTATATATATACATATGTGTGTATGTATGTATGCATGTATGTATGTATGCAGGTTTAGGGCTTCACACGCATGCAGGTAGCCCTTCGGTTTTCGTCGGTCCTGTCATTGCAGTGTGTACGGGTCACGACTTCGCGTGTGGGCGTGTGCGTTTAAGGCCCGGGGCATATATAGTAAAGGGGTTAGAGTTTAGGGTTTAGAGTATAGTAAAGGGGTGCAAAGGGGATGTGCGACTGTTGGCCTCGAAAAATTGGAGCCTGTAGCCGGTGCATGCTAGTATGGCTGCGATTGCTGCTGCTGCTGCTGCTGCTACTGCTACTGCTTACTAGTACTACTACGAAAACGACTACTACTACTACCACCACTGCTACTGCTACTGCTACTGCTACTGCTACTGCTACTGCTACCACTACTACTACTGCTACTCCTACTGCTATCCCTACTACTGCTATCCCTACTACTACTACTACTACTACTACTACTACTACTACTACTACTACTACTACTACTACCGCTACTGCTACTGCTACAGCTACTGCTATTACTACTACTACTATACTACTACTACTACTACTACTACTACTACTACTACTACTACTACTACTACTACTACTACTACTACTACTACTACTACTACTAGTACTACTACTACTACTACTACTACTACTACTACTACTGCTACTACTACTACTACCACCACTACTACTACTACTACTACTACTACTACTACTACTACTACTACTACTACTACTACTACTACTACTACTACTGTCAGTCAATGTTACTAGCACGATCAGCAGCGAGAAGTGTGCTGGTCATTCCCAGCCTGCTGGCCCTGCCAAAGTAACTGATCACCAGCGCGAATGTTACTTTGCATGATGGGTGCAAAAGTTACCACAGCAAAGCAGAAATGACGGAAACTTCTGACTGCCAGAATGCCGAGGGCTACGGTGGTGTGTAGCAGGAACGGCAGCACTGTTGAGTTTGCTAGCCGTGCGTGTTCCCACACACGCAGCTGTCCAGGATGGCACCATAAAGAAGGAGGAGCTTGACGCGAAGGCCTGTTCCGTGAAGCCTTGACTTTTGAGTCCATTCTGCAGATCATTAGACCGCCACACCCCCGCAGCGGCAGGTCAAGCAGGAGAAGAAGGAGGAGGAGAAGGCCTGCACAGCACTGGTGAAGACAGCACTCTGAATGCATGATCAGATACTGGATATTCAACCGCTGAGGCAATCACACAGCGTCACAATATAGTAGATGTATGTCACATTCGATGCATGGTTTGCCATGACACTGGAGCTCTTCTTTAATGACCGTCGTTAGCTGTTTTGCTTTACTGTCGTCAGCTTGTACCTTGTCTACTTACTCTATGCGTAATCTGCTTCATCGTGCTCACTGCGACCATCTTCGTCATGGTCAGCATCATTTTCATTGTCAATGTCTCCACCCTAGGGATCATCATCACTACAATCATCATGGTCATCATCATCCTCATTATGGTCATCGTTTGTATCGTTGCCCGCTCCATCAGGACTTTTCACTTCGCGCTAAACTGTCAACATCGCGTCTTCGTCGCAGGGTCACCATCAACGACAGTACTTCACCCTTCAGCCTGGTCAAACTATTGCTTTATGAAGCATGCCATATGTGAGTATTGATATTACGACTGTGCTGATGGGCGCCATCGTCACCATTATCATGTATCTAGTGGTTGTCCCATCTTGGTTTAAGAAAATCGTTGAAGGACATCAAGGTCGACGGCGTGAAAGGTGAGGGCGTGAAGAACGAAGGCGTAAAGCAAGAAGGCGCGGGCGATTGCTGTATAAGGGCTGTACAGCGATGACAGGTGTTGTGTAGGAGTCTGAGTTTTCTTAGTGGTTTGTATATACAAGGTCAATAGGGACTTGTTGTGAGCTCGCACAACTAAGGGTTTAACGGTTTAGTCTTCGGGTTTGGACTCCAGGGCTCAAGGTTATCGGCAGAAGATGTCTGGGTTTTCAGTTAAGGTTCAGGGTTCTGGCTGAATCATAGGTTGATGGGGTTAATATACAGGGTATGAGAATGTTCTTGTTGGGTGTCTTAGGAATGACTTGGTTTGCAGGAGCATCGACGTAGTAAGTAGATCACAGCGAGAGCTACAATTACGCCCCGTGGGTTGTCCTTCTGCTTGCGGCTTACTCTTGTTCTCGTCACTAAGCCCCACGAGCCGTCGAACAAAGCGTAAACCCTAAACCCCTAAACCCCTAAACCCTAAACCCTTAACCCTAAACCGTAGTGCGTTCTTGGGTTCTATGGAGGCAGGCTGCCGGCTTCACTAACAGCTCACTAATACTACCTATAGTCTCCATTGTAGTTCCTTTCTTTGGTTGACCAGTTTTAACCAAAAATGGAACTACAATGGAGACTATACGTAAAACCTGAAGCCAACATACTCCGTCATGGGTCACTAGTGTTTTGTACCGTGCAAAGCATTTAAGAAAACACCCTGAGACTCCTGCAAACCGGCAACCTAACATAGAGCTTCTGGGGCTTATTATACTATACTTTATAATAAGGAAGCACCCCAAATAGTAGGTAATTATCTAGGCCCCTATGTTAAACCCTTCAACCCCGAATCCCGGGGCCCGTAAACCCTGAAGCAATAGCTTTGAACCCCAATCCCTTCCATCCCGAATCCTTGAAGCCTCGGAAGCCTGATGTCAGGCGTCATGGTTATATGGTTCAGAGGTTTAGGGTTTATAGGGGTTTAGGGCTTAGGGGTTTAGGGCTTAGGCTTCAGGGTTTAGGGTTTAAGGTTCAGGGTTTAGGGTTCAAGGTTCAGGGTTTACAGGGTTACCAGTACAGGGCGACTCGGGGCGATCATGTTTTCAATATCAGCCTCCTGAGGACGCTACTACGCAAGCATGAACGCCGTAGGCTGCTAGAAGGACTCTGGTCCGCGAACCGATGGTAAAGGCGCTTGGGTCCCCAAGGCCCCTCTCAACCCTAAACCCTAAACCGTTTCTGGTTTATATACGTTTAGGGTTTAGAGGTTGGGGAGGCCTAATCCTCTACGCTGAAAGAACCCTGATCGAGGCCTTGAGATTTTTCACATTCTAGAGTCTAGAGCCCTAAATCCTCTGACAGGCAACGTGAAGCAAGAGAAGAGGACGGAGGAAGACGTCCGGGCCTGAGACGAGGAAGCTGAGTTCATGAGTAGAAATGGTTGGGAGTTTCTGAAAAGTAGGGTGCGTGATTCTGGGGTCCTTATAATAAGGATCGTGCTATTTAGGGTACTATATCAGGGTCCCCTATTTTCGGAAACTCCCATTTGCCCGGGGTCTTTCAGAGCATTATGAGGTCTTGGTAGGTTGATGCAGAATAGGTTTGGGATATGGGAAATGGCATGCCAGAATTATATAGGGATTGCAAGGGCATGCGATGGCAGTTTATTTCAGACCTCGCTGTATGGAAGCCGTTAACTGAAATAGTTGAAGCCTTGCAACAGGAATTACATAAGGTGTTTAGGGTGTAGTTTTGTTTCTCTTGACAGTTGGGCTCACATTTTCTGCTTTATCCGAAACCCCAATGAGATTTCGAATTCTTTTGACGCGAACCCCAGGCCAAGTGTGATCCCCGAAGCCTTGAACCCTCAACCATCCTAAACCCCACACCCAAACCCCGACCCACAGCTTCAAATCGAGATGCAGCTGGGGTGCTTGCGATACGACTCGATGCCTCAAGACTCTGAATACTATACCGGGATGAGCAATTGCTACCACTAATCCCTAGGTTTCCTCATGATGAGTATACTAGAATAGATCCCAAACCTTACCAACCTTTTTTTGCTTAAGGCATCTACCTTGCTCGCTTAGGTAGCCTGAGAACTAAACCCCAAGCCTGAAAGCCCAAAGCATTAAGCCCCAGACCCGAACCCGAAGAACGCCTAAGCCCCAAGCCTTAAGCCTGCGAGAAGGTGAAGAACGAGATGAAGATGGAAGGGACGAAGCGGGAAGATTTCTACGTCCTTGCCACGAAGGGAGAGGCTTAGTAGCTGAGTCAGGGTTGAGGGTTTGGGGTTTTAGGGTTTAGGCTTTTACAGCATAGTATTCCATGGGAGTTGAACCTGTTCCGGTCAAGATTTTTCTACCACGAAGTTGGCCTCACGGCAGGGGCACTCAGATTCGAGAGGGGTCATCTCCAGTCCGCTGGCGGGTTTTGGGTGTTACAGGGACCTCGTTGTAGAAGGGCTTGTGGTGATTTCAGAAGGGCTTTGCAAATATTTGGTTGTGTTTATGTTGGGAGTTGATGGGGCTTTGTGTTAGCTTCGCAGGGCGCATCTTAAGGGGCTTCCAGCATTTTCAAACAACATCATCCACAAAATCATCATCATCGCCATCATCATTTGTTCATCATGATCATTGTATTGCTAAATCCTGAAATGTCCAAAATCCCCTTGTTTCTCTGAGCCTCCTCTTTTCTGGGAAGACTGGGCCGTGGCACCTGACTGTTGGGTTCTGGGCTTTGTGATACTCAGTCATAGTATTCCTTGGGGCTCATTGACTTCATGTATAACGGTATATCGCAATACAGTACACCCCAAAACCCTGTCGGAACAAGTAAGGTCCCTAATCTATCCGCTGGGCCGCTGGGGGACTTCAGTGCCTTGCTGGAATTTTCATAGGGGCAAGTACTTAAAGGCCCATGGGACTTAGTAAGTAAGGTTATAAGTAGGTTATAATCTGGATAACCCCACTTTAGGAGACTTATAACCCAATTATAACCTACTTACTAAGTCCCACGATCCTCTAAGTAGACCCTAAACCCCTATAGATCCCATTATAGGGAACCCTATAGATCCCATTATAAGGAACCCTTATAGATCCCTTTTAAGGAACCCTTATAGATCCCTTTTAAGGAACCCATAAGGCCAGGGTTCAGGTTCTAGGGTGCAGGGTTTGGGATCGAAGTTTGGTCGGGAATAGAACAGAAATGCAAAAAGGTCTGTTTAGAGGATCCTTAAGGGAGGGTGGTTCAAGGGGGGAGGGTATAAGGAATCCTTAGGGGACTGTAAGGGAACCTTAGGGAGTACTAAGGAGAATTAGGGTTCACTAGGCTATATACCCCCCTTGGACCCCCTCCCTTAAGGATGCTACAATCTGTATCCAAAAACCTGCACCCTGCAATCGTTCCGTACTGTATGGAACTCTCATGGCAGCCTCATGAAGTTCTTCTCAACCCTTAACAGCATTGCTCTGTGTCAAATACTGCATGCTGCAAGCCCCACTTGCCGCATGCTTCCCTACGCAGCGCACAACCCTAAGCCCAAGACTCTGAACCCTAAACCCCAACAGCACGACCCGCAAAAACCCGAAGTCGAACATGCTGCAAGGGAGCGAAGGGCGAGGTCAAAGGAGAAACCAAGGGCGAAATGAAAGGCGACCACACTTGGGGTCTACGGTTAAGTTTAAGGTGTGTGGTTGTTTTGTTTAGACGGGTTTGGGAGCTGATCGGGCTCATATGTTTTCGTCCTGAGCTGGTAATCGGTTTAGGGTTTCGTTTAGGCTTGAGGGTTAATTAGTTTCAAGCCATGTAGATAGATGTGTTGCGGCGCCACTGTCCGGGATGTGCGATCAGGGGCATTGTGGTTGGGATGTGTTGCTGATGGAGTAGGGAGTAGAGAGTTGTGTCTTCCGCTTTCGGGCTTCATGACTTTCATGGCTTGTCATAGTATTTAAAGCTAGAGGGTTTCGTTATTTTGGCTCAAGTACATCTTAGGTTGCATCTGAGTCTTCATAAGCCGTGAGCTTGGGAACTGTGATGTTTGGTCTAGGCCCTCTAGGTGTTCCAGGGGGTCCGGCAGGTTTTGCTTGTCCGAGGTCTACCTATAGTCTCCATTGTATTTCCTTTCTGGCGTTACCTGATAGGATCCTAAAAGTATAAAGCCAAGAAGAGGAACAATGGAGACTACAGGTAGGGGTGAAAGGATGATTCAGGACGTAACTGCCTTGTGCAGTGGAAAGCGTGCCTTGCAGGCCTGCCTTTTAGTAGTCTTGCTTTTTCCCCGCCGAATCTTTAGTAACTTTCTTCTGGAACACACCCGTGATTCCAGCCACCCTCGAGTGCCATTATCATGCCTGCAGCCCCCCCCCCCGGTGGTAACACCAGCAGCCCTGCAAAGCCGTTCCTTGCTCTAGATGTGAAGCATTGTACAGTATATACACTTTCAACTTGATGCCGCATGACTCGCACAAGATGTGCGCATGAACCCCGACGCACAAAGCGTCAAAGCCCTCAAGCTTCAACGCACCGAAGCCCAAATCACTCAAACTCTAGACCAGAAACGGCAAACATCGCACCAGAAATCGGGATGGATGTCAAGGCGAGGGCGTGAAAGGGGAAGGCGTGAAAGGCGAGTCCAAGCGAGAAAGGCAGGGGTTGAGGGCTTCATTGCCTTTGAGAATAGAGTCTATTGTGGCTTTAAACATGGTGTGTTATGGAGTTTTGGGTTTCTTATTAAGGGTTCAAGGTTGAGGGGCTTCGGGAGCTAGAGCTTATCAAAGGAACATGGTTCATTGGTCGTCAGTAAGCGTGCTTTGTGGGTTCACCGTTTGGCGTTCGGGTTTCAGGTTGGATGGTGTTTGAGGGTTTATTCTCATAATGGTTCGCGATTGTCTGTGCCGCAACCCTCAACTCCTAAACCTGTTGCTTGAATGTTGAACTCTTTTAGAATATGACTGGTCCAGAGCCGTCGCAATTCAAGCAATGTGCCCGACACCATGCCATGCCGAAACCCAATACGCCTAAATTGCCTAAACCCCAAAACCTTCAACCCTAAACCCTTCGCCTCGACAGACCCTCAGACCCCAGACCTTCGGACTTTGAACTCCAAAGCCCAAAGCTCAACCTCTGAAACCCTCCGACTCGTCGACCATGACCTCGGAGACGAGGGCTTCTTAAAGCTTACCCCTAAGGGTCCAAGTACTTGACTGTGATATTAGATACTCTCTAAAATAGTAACCTACATAGCCATTATCCCAAACCCGAGTACCCACTGATTGGGTCCTGTGGAAGGTTGTCTTACGTGCGGCTATAACTTGAGACGGCTTAGGGCTTTGGGGACCAATGGGGCTCTGTAGATCTATGACAAAAGTCGCCATGAAACCTGCGTGCTACATCCCCTGACCCCTCAAGTAGGCCAGACGATATCGCCTGAGACTGAGTTCTGCATATGCCCAAAACCGGGATAAGGGTCCGGGGTTCAAGCCAGCAGAATTCCGTTTCAGCGCTTAGGGAAACAAGCCCTACACCTAAACCCTATACCCAAAGCCTTAACCTTTTAGGGTTCAGCCCTGAGTCACCAATTTAGATTTGATTGCAGCATCAACAGTGCCCTTCCTTGCTACTCGTGCATATATCTTTTTTGTTACTGAGCCCTGAAAAGCACACTGAAGGGGCAAAGCGCCAAGCCGGGAACACAACTGATCTCAATACTACAGAAGCCTAAGTAGGGACTACCAATGTTATTCCTTATGGTTCCTCATTACAAGTATGCTAGTAAAAAAAGAGGTTACCAATACAATTATGCCTTAAATACAAGCACGCTACACTAAAAAGGAGCCCAGAACCCTATTAAAATTGTCCAGGCCCCTGTACTATAGTACCCTTATAGATCCCTTATTATCGTCACCTATATATAGACCCCGTTTAAAGGAACGCTATTCTACGGTAATTAATTATCCAGGCCCCTATATTTGAAGCCGACAACCCCGGAACACGGCCCCCGAAGCCCAAATCCGAAGGCACCCCCGTCTTCTACATCCTGAAACCCGAAGCCGATTCTAAAAACCTAAAATCGAGGTCTGAAGAATTAGTGGTGGTGGTGGTGCTGTTGGCGGTCTTGGTAGTGGTAGTAGTGGTAGTAGTGGTAGTAGTGGTAGTAGTAGTAGTAGTAGTAGTAGTAGTAGTGGTAGTAGTTTCTGTTGTAGTTGTAGTAGTGGTAGTCCGCTACAGTCCCTATATGATATATGAGACAAGAACCTACACCAAAACCGTATTCTTATTCTTGAGGCTCCGATCCCTAAAGAACCCTGTAAAGAACCCTCAAAGAGCCCGCTACCTAGACCCTCAGGTAAACAAATGGCCCAAGACCTATCAAGGGCCACTTTTGCATACTTTTGGGGTCAGGCTGTCCTGGTCTAGCCACTACTTAGAGGATCATGGGACTTAGTAACTAGGGTTATAATTAAGGTAACTATACTTATAATTACATATAACCCCACTTAGGGTACTTATAACCAACTTACTAAGTCCCATGATCCTCCGAGTAGTCACTAGCCATGAAGGCCCCGTGGGCTAAGCCCTGTCGCACCGCTGGATCAGGTCTCGGTCAAAGAAGAAGAAAAAGAAGGCGGGGGTTTAGGGTTTGGGGTTTAGGGTTTATGTAGGGTTTAATGGTGTAAGGGGTTTAGGGTTTCGGGATGTTTGGGGGTCTAAGGTTGAGGGTTCAGGGGCGCGGCCTCTTGTGAGACAGCGGTCCGATGAATTGTAGCATAGCTCCCACAAGATTTTACATGTCTCTACCATAATGACATCGTGTATCCGAAACCGCGTCTAGCTGTGATGGCCCTTATGTCTGGCCGCCGGCGGGGCTGTGCAGCTTAGGGTTTTCATGGCTTGAGAAGGTCAGAGCCCGATTTTGCCGCTTCTGGCGGCCTGGAACACGAAGCCCTAACCTGAACCCCAAACCCCACCCGTAAACTCCAACCGCTAAGAATGTCAAGACGCCTCCAATTCAGCAGACAATCATCCAAGAACCGGCGGTCGAGCTTGAGATGCCCATATCTTTATCAGGGCAGGGAGCGCCAGCTGGATATGCACTTCGTCAACATCGACGGCCCTTCAAAGGAACCCAACCCGAAACCACCACCAGAAAAAACAAAAAATAAATCAAAACAATATGCCAAAAGGATGAAGGTTCCAGGCCTCTTATGAAATCATCGCTAGATTGCGTAAAGCTCGTATTATAGCCGAGTATAGGTAAGTTGTAGGAAATGTCAATACATTTTGATATCGTGATAGTACTGCACAGTACAGATATGTTGCTGATTGTGTCTTATATGTCTTAGTTTCGGCTTTTCGTGTCCTGGTGGGGTTTGGGGTTTCAGGGAAGGCTATAGGAATCGACACACTGCACCCAAAGTCCGAGAGTCATTCAGTCGTGGAATTTGCGGGTCAAGATTGCCAGAGTTGGGAGCTTGGAACACACGTCCGTCCAACTGCAAGTAAGAAGATGCCTTATGCAACGCGCGAGTTCCTATGAAATCTTGTGAAGTTGTAAAAGACAGGCTGCCTGACTTCTGGCTTCAATTGGTGATGGCCCTAAACGCTTAACCCTAAACGACAAAGTGTTGTTGGTTAAGAGTTTCGAGCTTGGGGTTTGGGATAGAGTCTAGGATTTGGGCTTAGGGCTCTTATTGTAAGGACACCTTTGGTTTTGGGGCATGAGGATTTTGACAGTGCCCCTCATTCTCGTGCAAGGTTAATCACCAGCTGTCAGCTATCATCATTTCTTATCGATTTTGGATACAGCAAAGGAAAGAGATGCAGATGTAGCGATGCAGCGACGGCAGAATACTGCTGCTGATGAAGCAACACGCTGCACCTCTTGTATACACTATATAAGAACAAGGTTCGTTATGGCGACTCATGCAGGATTTCGCCCACACACATTTGGACTCTCAGTGCTCAGTAAGCGGCGGTTTTGTGGTCACCTTGCTGTGGGTGTCCAAAAAGTTTGGGACCCATTTAGGGGTTCATGTTAAGCATTCACAAATGTTCTGCAACTCACAAAATTGACGGTGCAGCCGACCGTACAACGCACGCGCTGAACCTTAAACCCGACACCATGAGGACAAGATCAAGAAAGAGAAGGGCGATGGCGAAGGCAAGGAAAAGAAGGAGCGAACTGAGTGCGACCGTCAAGTCAGCGTTTTGTAGGTCGCTGGTCTGTGTTGGTTCTTTGCCCTTAAGAGGGTTTAGTGGCGATTGGGTTACAGTACGGCTAAGTGCTTTGGGTTGAGGCAAGGTCGAGAATACCAGCAGGGTCCATATACACTACCATTGTGGAATTAGGCCCCCGAAGACCATCCTAATAATCGTTTTGGGGGACCTAATTCCATCGTAGCAGTACATATGGACCCTTTGCAGAATATTAGCCATGGCTCTACGGTCATATATGTTTCTAGGTCCAGCCAAGGACTTCGGAGGTTCTCCAGGGCCGGTCGGAATGATGGTTTCAGGGGTCAGGGCTTCGGGTTTGGGGTTCCGGTTTAGGGCTTCGGGTTTGGGGCATCAGTGACGCCTAGAAACCCTGAAACCTGGTTGGCGGCTTGATGGAAGTTTGATATTCTGCAAAATGTGCAGCAGGAGTAGGGGGATCCTGAAACCCGACGCAATGGTTGGGGCTGCGTCCTAAACCACAACCTGACACTACACCATAACCCCTTATTACGCAGAACCCCTACAGACCCCCGAGGCGCACTTTGAGTTGTCACAGAGCCCATCGTCCATCTAACGATACTTTTAGGCTTGCGGCTTCGCATTTATGGCTTTTGGGTTTAAGGAAGTATGTGCAAGTATAGGCGTCTGCGCATTCCAGGAAAGCAGGGCAACATGCAGTATGACCCCCGGACAGGTTACAAAGGGTTTAGCGTTCAGGCTAGGGTTATCTCACCCGAACCTTAGCGTACTTGAATCCCCTGACCTGTAAGCCTCAGTACGCACTGGGACGCCCGGACAAACTGTTACTAACGTAACGTCAAACAGAGCGCAAGTGAGACCTTGAAAACCCCTATATGACTAGCAAGCCATACACATCATGACAAAGGCTTCTCGAGCTGCGGGACAGTGTTGTCACTCTCCAATCTACGCCGTGCACCCTAAACTTGCTGATTATCGGGGCAGGAATATGAATTAGCAACACTATTTGTTGTTCCTTTGTAGAACTCCAATATAATCTACCCGAAAACCCTGTTCTTAATCCAAAGCCTTATTCCAAGGCCCCTACATAGGTCGGGTCCTAAGCTTTCCTCAACCCTGAACCCTAAACCCCGGAAAACCCCAAACCCTAAACCCTTCCCTAGACCCTAAACCCCAAACCCAAGAAAGCCTCAACGCTAATTCTTCCGCAGGACAAGAAGAAGCGAAAGGGCTCGGAGTCTCCCGGAGGTACCAGGAAGCGAAAGAGCAAGTGGGGTCCCGACACGGCCAGTCTTGCATGTTTTCGCGCACTGTAAGGGTTCCTATAAAGGGAACTCCAGAAAGTTGGAATATGGATTAATGGTAGGGTCCCCTATAATTTACCTTAAAGGGGTTACGGTAATGATATTCCAACTTTCTGGCTTGTACTGTAACGGATGTACAAGGGTACTATAGAGCTCCGGGGGTTTAGGGGTTTTAGGGCTGCGGGGTTTCGGTTTGGAGTGTAGGGCTTTGGGTGTTTGTTTAAAGGTGTTTAGGCTTTTGGGTTCAGGGTTTGGGGATTACTTGTGAGGCTTTTACAGCGGATTTGAATCACTGAAGACTGACATATTGGAGCTCGAGTCTGGGGCAGGAGGCTTAAGCTGAATTTAAGCACTAATTGCGGACTCCCCATCTGCTCCATTTGTCTTTCTCTCGCTCTCTCTCTCTCTCTCTCTCTGTCTCTCTCTCTCTCTCTCTCTCTCTCTCACTCGCGCTCTGTTTTCGGCAGGGGGGCCAGCCAGTGAAACGTTTCATGTTTGAGTTTCGTGTGTAGTCCTTTCGCAAGAAACCATCCTTGCCCTGAAAACCTTGTTCTGAAGGTCTTGGGCCCTCAGTGCTTGGAAATCCCCTAAGCCGCGAGGGCTAAGTTTCATGCCGGCAAGTTCGCAGATTCAGCGCCGAAAAGCCAACCAGCCGCCGAGCTCCCCTAAACTGCAAAGCTCCCCGTGATGCCAGGGTGGATTTTCCATGACCGCTATCCCCGGTGGTAGATCTGGGCTTCTGCCCGCCGCAGAAGGCGACGAGACCATGCGCTCCGTCTGCATGCTGTCTCCTTCTTGCTGCATTCTTTTCAGGTTGATTTGTTTTGGTGTGGTCCAGACCCTCACACCTTAGGCCGCAAGCTTATGCACCTAGCTATCGAAAACTCCCCAGGCCACAAGCATCGCTAGATATCGTTCAAAGCTGATCACACCACAAGCGAAAAGCTTAGACTCGCCCGACTTGGAACACTTCGCAGCCCGTGAAGCCATGTATCCGAGTACCTAGGCTTAGTGTTTAGGGTTTAGGGCTTTCGGGTTTTAGGGTTTAGGGTTTAGGCTTAGGGCTTGAGGGTGTTAGTTTTAGGATTTAGGGTTCTATCTAACCCGGTTACAGGCCTTGACCCCATAAACCCAGCTTCTGATCCTGACTACTCGTGCGAAACCAGGAGACCCGATGGTTTATATGGGAGTTTCCGAAAATTAGGGGTACCTTATTCTGGGGTCCCTAAAAGGATCCTACTATTTCGTGTACTATATTAGGGTCCCCTATTTTCGGAAACTCCCCTGTAGCTGCTATTAATTCAGGGTTAGGGTGTTAAGGGCTGAGCTGGTTACTGGTTTATGATTTAGGGTCTATAGGGTTCAGTTCGTGTTTAGGATTTATGGGGTTTAGTTCGGATTTGGGGTTTGGTCCGGGTTTAGGGTTTACCTAGACCCCCAACTACCCTCTAGTATACCTCAAATACCCACTAGTAAGGGCCATAAGGGCTCTATTGAAGGGCCTTTGGGGGGTCCTTTCAGAGTTTAAGGTTTAGAGTTTAGGGTTTAGTTCGGATTTAGGGTTTATTTCGGATTTAGGGTTTAGTTTGGGTTTAGGGTTTAGTTCGGATTTAGGGTTTAGTTAGGGTTTAGAGTTTAAGGTTCAGAGTTTAGGGCTTAGTTTGCTAGAGGTCGGAGCCTCGGGTGCCAGTCTTGGGCCAGGTCGGGAGCTGGCTTTGAGGTCTGGTGAAACCCAGAAAGTTGGAATATGGATTTAGGTTTAGGGTTTAGGGGTTTAGGGGTTCGGGTTTAGGGTTGAGGGGTTTATGTATGTCATGTGTAGAGTTTGGCAGGCTTGGGTGCACATGTATCATCTGCGATCGCTGTCATGCCTTTTGGCTCAAGCCTGGCAGTTGAGCCAAAAAGGCAGGATTTTGTTGCCATTAGCTTGCGGAGGTGTCCCGCCTATTATGGCAGATGCATTTGATCAGGAGTCTCCTGAGTTCTATGCCTATGTGTTCAGCCGCTTTGCTGTTCACACCGAGGCCCAGGTGTTGCACCCTGCGGCCATGTTGGACCTCAGGGCTCAGCTTCGGTTTTTGGTTTCCGAGGGTCGGAACTGGGATGCTGCGCGCCTTTGGGCCTCAGCCCTGGAGGTACAACATTACCCTCGCCTCTTCCGTACTTGCCGGATGCCTTTGAGCACATGTTGGTGGGCTGTGCCTCTAGAGGGACCGCCGTCGTCCAGGAGGGAGTTCCTTCTGCGTCCTTTTCGGCCCTTGGTATGATTCCTGTGTCTTCCTCGATGTGCACAAGCACACCAGACCACTCCGACACAATGTCGCTGAGATCCAGCAGTGGCCTATGGTACGGTGGTGGCCACCCGCCCAGGGAGTGTGCCCCTAAAAGGGGGAGTTGCGCGGCGGGGTGCCCTCTCCTGCAGCCTGCTTCGCCTTCTCTGTGGCAGTCTCCCTCGGCTGGTGGGCGGCGAGGTGTGGTCGGGCACGGCTCAGAGTCCACAGATGGTGGTTGGTCGAGCCTGTTGGTCGGCGCGAGCACTGGGCGGCTGTCAACCCGTTGGTTTGTGGGGACTGGGCAGTCGAGCCCATGGCGTCTTTTTGGGCCTTCGGCCGCACGACCCAGGTGTGGACCGCCTGGTGAAGTCGAGTTGCACGACAGAAAGCTCCCCCCTGGGCACGTATATGTGGGGCGCGGGCACCACACGCACGACTGCACCCCCTCCGAGTGGATGCCTCTCTTCGTCGAGCACATCGTTGACAATCTTTGGACGTACCTCCACGAGCTCTGGGGTGTTACCTTGGTTTGCGACTGTCCCTTGGGCTCCCTGTGTGAGAGGGACGTTCTGGCAGGCCTGGTGTGGTACCAGTTGGCCTCGAGCCAGGGTGGAGGCAATCGGTGTGTTCAGCCGGCCCCGGTGTGGAGCGCCGTGGGCCGCCTTCACCCAGTTGCCGGCATCCGTGGCCCAGGTGATCCCTTATTCTTCCCAGGAGTCGGTCGTCACAGCTTTCCGCAGCCTTTTCCCTTCCTCGGCCTTCAGTGGCTTCGTCTTCGAAGATCTGGTCAACAGTCCTCCTTTCACTCTCTTCCCCCAGTGGCTGCGGGAGCAGGGGCTTCGCTGGGATGGCGCGTTGGGCCCTTCGCTCTCCGATCCTGCCTGCAGGTTGATGCAGCGTGGCGTGCGGCGGAGGGTCAACAGGCGGGGGCGCTTTCGGGGCAGGCGGCACTCCTTTTTGTTCTCCCTTTCGGTCTATCCCCGGATGAGCATTTCAGCCGGGCTTTGGCTCGGGGAGATGACCCCTTGCCAACGGAACACCCTCCGGTGTTGGACCAGGACCTCCACTTTGCGGCGGAGATGACCGTCGGGTCTCTTGGCCGTCTCCGCGAGTTGCGGCGCGAGTGTGTCGGCCCGCTTCGGGAGTTGAAGCGTCGGTGGGGCCAGGTGGGGGACCACCTGCGCAAGCTCCAGACTCCGGCGGTCCGGAAGGTTACGGCCCAGCGCGATCTAGGCCTGCTCAGTCTCTTTGTTGTGCTGCTTTCGTGGCCGGACACCACTCTGCCCTCCCATCTCCTTTTCGGCATGCCAGCGGTCGGCACGTCTTTTCCTTGTGGTGTCTTCCCACAACAGAGCTTCGAGGTCATTCCACTTCAACGGCTCTTTGAGAATGTCGACGCACACAACAAGGCCATCCAGGGCTCTATTCGGCCGGGGCCGCATGATGACTTTTTGCTGGAGCAGTCTACCAAAGATTTCGAAGCGGGTTTTTGCTCGGCGCCCTTTTCTTGGTCCGAGCTCCTTCGCCATACCAAGGGCAAACCAATTCGCTTGATACCGCGGTGCGTCATCTCTCAGGCCTCCGGCAAGCAGAGGGTAATCGACAACGCTGACCATGGGGGGCAGAGCGAGCTCAGCTCGGACTCCAACAAGTTGGTGCTGTGCTCGGCCCTCCGCCCGGCCCAGCACGTGTCTTTGGCGATGCCCAGCCCGGCAGCCGCCCGCCGCCTGCTGGAGGAAGACCAGTGGGAAGGAGGCGGCGAAGACTGGCCCGATGCCTATCGCCATGATTGGGCCCAGCCGGCGTACCAGGTCTACTCGGGCCTCCTTTTTGGGCTCCCACTGGCAGTGACCAGCTTTAACCGGCTCAGCAGGTTCTCTGATGCGGTTGGCCGTCGGCTCGTGTGTGTCCTGGTGTCCATGTATACTTCGACTTTGCGGAGGCGAAGCGCCACCCCATGAGCACGGTTGGCGACTTCCTCGGCTTGGAGTGGGACTTCAGAGACGTGGGTCGTGACCACGTCAACTTCTGGGTCCGGACCAGGCTCCAGGAAAAGGTTGAGGGCCTCCTGCTTCAAGCGGAGAAGGACGGCTGCCTCCCGCCCGGTTTGGCATCGAAGTTGTATGGTATGCTGAACTTTCTCGAGCAAGGGGTCTACGGGCGTATTGGCACAGCTGGGGGTAAGTTGACCCCGGCAATCCGTTCCTCCTTCGAGGTCATTCGAGCCATGTTGGCGTTGCGGCCACGCAGGGCTGTGGAGGTGCTTCCCTCCCCCTGCGCCCGCTTCGTCGCAGCCAGCGACGCTGCGGAGGATGAGCCGCGCAGGGGCACAGGTGGCTTCCTGTTGCTCTGGCCGGGCAGCGAGCCTGGTCGCGAAGCTTTCGTGGCGCAGATTGACCGGCACACCTATGATGCCTTTTTACCGGGTGAGGTCAAAATCGCGCAGCTTGAGTTGTCAATGGTCCTCTTTGCTCTCACAGCCCGGGCCTCCACTTTTCGCTTTCGCCGAGGCACGTGGTACATCGACAACGTAGCCGCGCTTATGGCACTTATTTTCGAGGGCGCTCCGATTCTCCCGACCTCGAGCGGCTTGCGCATCTCATACATGTGGCCCTCTTCTCCCTTCAGGTTTGGATATATACTGGGAGTGGGTGCCCAGTAAGTCCAACTGGTCCGACTCGATCAGTCGATTGGGTGCGTCGGACCCTTGGGCCGCCTCTCGCGGCTTCTGCCTCCACCACGCTCTTTTTCCAGCCGAGGTGTGGTCTCTGCCTCTGGTGCCTGCCATGCTGGTGTTCCAGTTCTTGTAGAGTGCTTTGGGAATAGTGCATTGGGATGTCGAACCGTGTTGGTTCGGGGTGGGGCTTGCAACCCGGTGTTGACCCGGGTTGGCTTGCCTCATTTATCCGAATGTTTTACCAAAGCATTTCCAGCAGTTGCGGGTTCTACAGACTGGGATGGCACTAGCGGCACTAGCGGTGTGAAAAGAGCGGAGTGTCGCAGTAGCCTCTTTGATTCGATATGCGGATGTATGTCATGTGTAAAGTTTGGCAGGCTTGGGTGCACATGTATCATCTGCGATCGATGTCATGCCTTTTGGTTCAAGCCTGGCAGTTGAGCCAAAAAGGCAGGATTTTGTTGCCCGCCCTACCCTCCCTTTTTCTGAGACGATCCCCCGTGGGGCTATCCTCTCTTTTGGGGTGGGCAGCGAGAGTTTTCTCGTCTGCATTCGGAGGGATGTCGAACCGTGTTGGTTCGGGGTGGGGCTTGCAACCCGGTGTTGACCCGGGTTGGCTTGCCTCATTTATCCGAATGTTTTACCAAAGCATTTCCCGCAGTTGCGGGTTCTACAGACTGGGATGGCACTAGCGGTGTGAAAAGAGCGGAGTGTCGCAGTAGCCTCTTTGATTCGATATGCGGATGATTTAGTATTAGGATGATTAGTGCTGGGTTCCCTATACTTTACCTTAACCCTTTAGGCGCTAAGGACTGATAGTTTAAGGCTTTTGGGCCTAAAGACCATATCATATAAGGCTTTTGGGCCATGTTGAGCCTTAGGGTAAGGGCATGAGGCTAATGATGTTCCAACTTTCTGGGTTCTACTTTAGGATGCCCATCGTACTTAACGCATCTTACAAGTACCCTAAGTCCCTAAGTGGGGTTATAATTAGTTGTAGGTACAGTTACCATAAAAAAAAACCTTAGTTACTAAGTCCCATGATCCTCCAAGTACATCCTGTGAAGCCCAGAACTGCCCTGCATTTAGGGTGGAGGGTCTACTTAAAGGCTCATAGGACTTAGTAAGTAAGGTTATAAGTAGGCTATAATTAGGATATATTAGGATAACCCCACTTAAGGGACTTATAACCCCAATGATAGCCTACTTACTAAAGTCCCATGATCCTCTAAGTAGGGTTCCTAGAGCTGCCCTGCCGTTTAAAGTCTGTAGGGCCTAGGGTTATAGAGTTCTAGGAGTTGGAACTTGCAAAACCCGAAAGGGAGCCCTCTAATTAACCATCATATGGCTTCAAGGTTGAGAGTTGTTTAGGGCCTCAGCCTCTAAACTCTCAGCCCCAACCCGTCCGAGGCCCAGATTCTCAGACGAGGAGATGGTTCAGCGATCTCTCATCCTCGAAAATCTGCTCCTGGGCGTTAGAAAAGGGCGTTGATTCAGGGTTTGGGGTTTCGGGTTTACGGCGTCGATGTTTTCTAGTGGAGTTTTGCCGGAGATTAGGGTATGACTATATAGTCAGGGATAGGTATTGACAAGTATGCAAGCTTATATATTACTTGAGGGCTCCTGGGGGCCTTGAGAAGTACACTACGGTTCCGCTACAGAGTGCTATATAACAAGCGTTACTATGAGGGTTTAATCATATAGGGGTCTTCATAATTAGACCAGGGTTACGTAACAGATTCCAGATAAAGAGTTTCAAATGAGTTTAGTTTTGGCGCCGTGCTGAGTAGAGTTAGGTGTTGGGGTATATTGTGGCACAACTATTCTTAGAGGATCGACTTAGTAGTGTAGCCAGGATTAGAACTAAGGTGACTATTCTTTTAATGGCTTATATGCCCACTTAGGTACTTATAACCTTGCTTATTAAGTCCCATGAACCTCCAAGTATATTCAGGGAGCCCTCTTAGTTCCAGGACCCCCGCCCTTTAATAGAGCCCTCATGGTCCTTTTAGTAGTGGGTATTCGGGGCAGGATTTGGCCGTTTAGGGTTGAAGAAGTTTACCCATAGGCTCCATAGTAGTTCCGCTTTGGGGATTACCTTATAGGATTCTACATATGAACCCCCAAAAGGAACTACTATGGAGCCTATGGGCAGGGCCAAGTTAAGCCTCAACCTAGACGTTGACGCCGGACTCACAACTAAACCTTAGGGTTTAGGGTTTAGGGTATACAAACCATAAACCACCAAAGGCCCCAAAGCCGCCCCAAGCCTTTCAAGCCCAAGTCTAAAACTCCGTATCATCCTCAAGCCCTTCAAGAACCGGTGATCAAGCGTGAACATCCTAGGCATACGGCAGCCTAAATCCTAAACCCTCAACCGGAAACCCTTAACTTGGAACCCAAAATCCTAAACCCTTTAAAGAAAAACTAAAAAGCAAACCCTAAAGCCCGAAGTCCAAAACCCTGACTTTCCAACAGGTCCCTTAGCTGCACCGGCCAGGACTGACAAAGCGATGCACATGGAGGGTTTAGGGCCGTTTAGGGTCTAGGGTTTCGGGCCATGGTTGTTACAATAGGGGCTTAAATAATTACCAATACTCTGTTGGGGGCTCCTTATTAAAATTATGGTATAATGGGCCCCAAAACCCTATTCTCATTATTAAGGGCCCCTGTATAAAGGGTTTGCGGTTCAGGGCTTGTAAGGGTTCAGGGTAAATTCGGGTTTGGGTCAAACATTGTCAGGTCTTACGAGTGGGCGAACTGTGAAAAAAAACAGCCCTAAGGCTCAAAATGGCCCAAAAGCCTTCTATAATATGGTCTTTAGCCCAAAAGCCTTAAACATATCGGTCCCTAGGACCTTAGGGCAAGAATGGGAACCAGTGCGGCCATGCCGATGGGTGCTCGCTTGTCGTTCTGCGCCTTGATCTTCTGTTACGAAGACTACGGCAGTTAACAGCACATCCACCGTTCCAATCAAATCAGTCCCGATAGAGGTATTTGGGGCCGATTATATACCATTATGTGTATATACATGGATCCTTACCAGCAGGCTCGCAAGAAGTTGCACCATCCCTGTCGCATTTTGGCCTCTCCTATCCAAACTCCAGATTCCAGACCCAACCCTCAGCCCTGAACCCTATTGAACCCGGTTAGGGGCTTGCCGCAACCCCACAGGCAAAACAGCCGCTAAAGCAGAAAAACCTTAAACCCTAAACCCCTAAACCCTAAACCCTTTAGGTTCCCAGAAGTCCTGAGCAGGAGCTCATTGAGTTCTTCAACGGTGCCATCCTCGCCGTCACAGGAAATGCGGTGCACCAGGCCCTGGGCGCTGAGTGAGTTGTAGGATTGTAGGATTATACCGAGGCCTATTAAACCCTACTTTTTGTAGGTTCTGATTAAATACTCCAATATGGGATTTATAGGGACCCTACCAAAAAAGTAGGTTCTGGTAGGTGAAGGTAGGGTCACGGGGTTTAGGGCCTTAGGGTTGTAGATGAGAGGGTTTGAATAGGGTTGCCTCTCAGGGGAATATGGCGCCGAGGGGTTCTGCGGGGTTTGGGGTTTCAGGGGGCTTGAGGGCTTCGGTCGGGTTTTGGGGGCTTGGGGGTCTGAGTTGGGGAGTCAAGGTGCAGGGTTTGGGAGTTGGGGGTTTCGGGTTTATGGTTGATGAAGATCCTGTGGCCTGTATGTAGCAAGTTCCAGCGAGAAAAGATACCCGAATAGGCTGAGAGTTTAGGGACATTGTCGAGAGCTAGGGCATTCTACTCGTTGAAGGCCGCCCTAGAAAGCGCACGCCCAGACCCTCAACCCAAACCTTCGACAGTAAATCCCCAGAGTCACTGCCCTAACACCTGAAATCCTTGACATGCTGAGCTTCAGCACTACATGGGTGGTTGTCAAAATTGTAGTCCCTTCTTGGGTACCCTAAGTCATAGGTGCCGTACTATAATAGGGACTCAAACAGGGACCCTAATTTTGACCACCAACAACATGCTAAGCCCTCAGCCCCATAAAGATTGAACCCGGAACGCTGAGCCCTGAGCCCCCAGCCCCCAAAATTCCTAAGTTTCTGAATCCACCTAAGCCTTTATGAGGTCAGGCTTTGGGGTGTAAGGCTAAGTTTTACTAAAAGCGAAAACTAGGCTAAGCAGCAAACAACACATTCGAAATCCCAAGTTTTCAAGGGCACAGAATCGAAGCTCCGATCCAGGCTGCAAATCGCAACATGTCGCCTGTCTTCGCTTGTACGATCACAGAGGAAGACCGGGCGAGCAGCAAGAGGTGCAGCGGGATTGGGATGGGAGGCCTAAAGCCGCAAACTCTTATCTCCAAATCCTTAACCCTGGGGTTTATTTCTCAGGGCTCCACAATACTAAATAACAGTACTAAAACCCTGCCCCCGAAATCCAACACGGCCTGAAACCCTCAATCCTACACCCTGAGCGTCTGTGCAACCTTTGCTCAATCCAGCCGTGCCCGACTGAAGCTCTGCTCACTTAGTTCCCCACACCGATCCCGATCCCAATCTCTTCGATCGACTCGTAGCATAGTTGAATCAAGCTGTGCTTATGGTCAATATAAGCCAGCAACCCGCCAAGGGCCCTTTAACAGGGCCTTTATGGTATACTGGAGGGTAGTGTTTGGGGTTTAGGGGTTTATGGTCAGGCTTCAGAGTTTACAGCTCAGTGCGAGGTACACCCTTTTGCCTCCGTCTCGCCTTCCCTCCCGAAGTCTGTTCTATTCCTAAATATTTGAAAGCTACCCAACCAGACCACGGCGGGAACCCCAAAACTCCTAAGAACGTTAAACCCTAAACTTTCCCCTAACCCCCCATGGGCCCGAAACCTTTACGAACCCAAAATCCGCAAACCGTTGAGCCCTAAACTCTGAACTCCAAAAGCAGAGCCTCAAGTGCCAGGAAGAACGCAGAGCTCAAGTTCCGTACGCCCGACGGTGCCTCCGTGGGCATGAAGCTGAACGGAATTGAGTACAAGGGCCACAAGGCAGGTTTAGGGTTTCGATCGGGCTTAGGGTTTAGGGCTCCGGGCTTAGACTCACAAGGTACCTCGGCATCGGGCGTCACAACCTAAGCCCTAAACCCCAAGCTTGATAAACTTTTCGGTTTGGGATTTT